TCCTGCTGCTGATTTTCTCATCATTACAACAGAGAGTAATGACATGGAGGTGAGGAACCAGTTAGCTCAGCATGGGACTCCATTGATTAACACTCCTGAAAGTGTCTGTTTCCCAGCAGACTCTAGGGGCTGATTTGTTCAGGAACAGGGTGACCAGTGTCACACTCAGCTGCTGGTGACGTCAGTGAGCTGGGCGGGAAGCCAGACAGAGCGTAACAGGTTTCTAAGAGCTCTTAGCAATCTGGAGCACTGTGTCCAGCACTCACAGATGGCATTGTGGGATGTCTGAGAGGAATGTGAATTGGCACATATGCAGCAGCATTGGATGCATACAGCGCTGGACCTGTATGCAACCAAAGAGGAAAGTATTACCGAATGGGGGAAAAAAACACGCATACTAGCTAGGGACTGCTTACAATATGATAAAGTAAAAAAAGTTATCCCCCCCCCAATACTCGGAGCCGGCTTGCTCTTAGACTGGTCCCTGGAGTCCCTCTCCCCCTCCTCTGCAATGGTCTAAGGTCCCCGAGTCATTACGTTCTATATGCAGTGTATTGGACGTGAGGACACCGAGGGACATACCCTTTGCTGTAGCGGAAGAGACAGGCAGAAGTGAACGCTGTCACGGACTCAATGCTTTTTGAATGATTCAACACTCTCAACTGATACCACTGCTTGTGGCAGCGAGTTCCAGACCCTAACTGCTCTAACTGAGAAGAAGCCCCTATGCCCCTTGTGGTTTAAGTCTTTTCTCCACCAGTTTTAGGTGGTGGCCCCTAGTCCTTGTCCTTTTTTTTTGTTTTTTTAATCGGAGATGTTCTTTAAGGTTAGGGTTAGTTGCACGTTAACCACTTGTAAAACACGTAATGCATGAACACATTTATATGCATATATTTTCTATCCTCCGCCTTCCTGAATGAGATTGCCTGTGCACACAAACATCATTTTCTTGCTAAATTAAGGTATGATCATTACACTAAGCTATCAAATCTGTTTTGCATGTGCCATTGGGTTCTCATCACAGCCATGCCTGAGGTTCACGTTATCCCAGAGTCGGGCACAGAAGATTTGTACGAACATTCTTCTTTTTTATTTTCACACATGGAAGTCGCTGTAGTGGATTACTAAACCTGATAGAATCTGTCTGTCTCCAAAACAATTACAGTTTTTGTAAACATCACTTATTGAATTTTTGAGGTTGGATTGTCTGCTGTAATATATAATGGTTCAGTGTGTTTGTCTTTTTTTTTCCCCTATTTTTTTTTGTCTCCTTTTTATTTTTATTTTCAATGTATGTATTCATTGGAAAGTCTAGTGTGTTTTCAGGGAGTATACGTTCTGTGGAGACATTGTAACGTTTACCTTGAAAGCTGTTTTTGTTCTCACATTTTTACTTGTTGGATTTTCATGATGGCATTTTATCAGATTTGTAGACATTCTAAAGGATTTTTCAATTTCAGCCCCGTGGGCTAAACAATGAAAAACAAAAAAATCATCCCCATCTATGCTAAACAATGTGGATTGACTGAGTGTGGAAGTTAAAAATTTATTTCATGTTTTTTATTTCCGTGACCCCCATTAGAAACTTTCCTTCTTCCTCTCCCAGCGATGCCATACAAGAAATGTCGGGGGCTATTGTCCTCAGGGGAGGAAGGCATGGACAACAATAAAATCATTGTCAGAAGTTCTAATCCTTCCCTACTCTACTAACAATGTGTTAATGTCTACCTTGGAGAGAGATCCCGTCACTTCCTGTCTTGACACAGACTGCAATAAAAATCTAACAGACTGTAATCTAAAACCAAATGGCTGTTGTTTGCTCGAGTGGTCTAAGCATAATTTTATACAACAATAAACATTACACCAGGTGGTTTCCCTAATCAAAGCTGGCTTCAGAAGGTATCTGACCATGCCCTTTCTTATCTTCTATTCTCTCTGCTACATTAAACATGGTCAGATACCTTCTGAAGCCATTGTGTCTTTATTCAACCTCAAATACTATGTAACTATGTAAGCCAGCTTAGATTAGGGAAACCACCTAACTAAAAATGTATTCTTCCCATTGACTCCTTGGAGGCCTGAGCTGACCCATGAACCAGCCATTGGCATTACACGATTGTTGCTGCACCCTTCCTTCTGTAGGGTGACTACTTTTGCTCCCCATGGTCCCTGTGGGTGTTGTAAAGTAGACGCCGCTCCAAGCTCACTCCCGTGATGGACTACAATCTCATGTCAACTGGTGTCCAGTTTATTGTTGTATAAATGTTCTCTTCTATTCTCTGCTACATTAAACGTATACTTAAACAACATGTGGAACCCTCAGCTAATCAGGTGTATGTTTTATTCAATTAAGAAGCCTGGTGTACAGCCAGTATCACAGAAGCACTTTGATGCACACCTTGATGCATTTCGCACCCTCAGAGCTTACCCTTATGAGTATGCACCGACAGTGTGAAGTTCCTCAAGGTTCTTATGTGATGCTCTCTGACTTT